GATATTAATGCGGAAATGTAGTCAAATATCGCTGAAAATGCGATCAAGCGCCGAGCACATACATGAGTATAATATATTGCCTAAATATATGGCCGTGTTGTTGTCGCTCGCATATATTCACACTCAAATCAAAATGGATATGAGCGGCAAAGTGAAGCGTGTATTTGATTCATTCGATATATGCGTATAAATCGCAAGGTATCTGGCAAAAGACAACAATTAGCATCATACGTATACGTAATATTTAATGGAAATTTATTCAAATCGTTCAAAAACCTAAATTCCTTCCCATCCACGTGTTTTATTTTTTTCTTCTTCTTCTTTCGCAAAACTTTTGCCGTCGCATTTTTGATGGTCGATTTGAATTGTGCCTCATTAAATTGATTGTTGGGTATCATTATTTGCAGAGGAAAATGCTTTCAGGTATGCAAATACCGTTTATTTGGGATTAGTTCCACAGCTTGTCTGAGATTTTTGTCATTACCGTAATTGGAATGAAATGAAGATCTCCAAACGAGCCAAGCGGCAGGGTGAGATGAAGAATCCAAAGCAGAAAGAAATAAGAACGCAGAGCTTCGCTTCACTCCGCTCTGCGTTCTTGAGTTTTCAGTTACTTAATCTATTTTATTGTTTTACAACAAACTTGGCGCACTACATGAAATGTATTTCATCAAAGTAACTTTGAAGTAATATATTTATTTGCAAAATGAATTACAAGATCTTGGTTTAATTTCTTTTTTGAAATAAACTGCCATTGGTTTAAATTGAATAAAAAATATGAGCATAAAATTCAAATTCACCATAATTTGTTTCAACACTCAAAAAGTATCTAGGAAAAAAAACCAGATTAGTAGCTCTACATTTCATGTAGTGCTAAAAAGAGAATACGTTCTCACTCTGCTGGTTGAATTTAATACAAATTTCATTTTCTCCTCCAATTCGAAGCATCTTGGGACTGGAAAATCCATTGAAAGCATTTCTGGTTCGTTTTCTCTTGCTCGTTCGCTCGCTTTCAGCATTTTCATTAATATATTGACAATGACAGCGGCGACTTTGTTGGCTTTATTCAATACTATACGCTCGCTGTCTCCCGCTTCGCTCACACATTCTCTCCAAGGAATCAACACATCAACTGAAAGGAATGATAAGATTGATAAGATTATGATTTTGTTCCTCTGCCACAGTTGATGTTGCTGCTGCTGCTGTCGTTACTGCTACCGCTATCCATTCGATTTGTGGATTTATTTCCAGGCGATGTGTGCGTGTGTGTGTGATTCATCGTTGTCGTTCGCATTTGAATAATACCGCATGTGCCAAATGCACACAATCCCATGTATACAATAGCGCGACTGGAACATAACGGTGTGGAATGAATGTGCCTTTTTCAAAAACGAATTTTTATTATTTACGGAAGGTACTGACTCACATTGGTTTGGCCATTGTATCGCATCGGTTTTGGTGGTGCTTCACAGTGGTTTTAAGCACACGCGAGGGATGCAAAGTTATATCATTATTATTATTGAAGTAAACAGAAAAACGTATTCAAATGTACTTTATGAATAGAGCAACAGCTATTTGGACGGGAGAAAGGGACGGGTAGGAAGGTGGAGGACAGAGAGTACCGGTGACGGTGATGGTGATAATAATGGCATCTGCAGTGTGCGTATGACATCCTTTTCATTATTTTGCTTCAGCCTGCATTGACAACGACGACAATGACTATGACGATGCGTTGCTATTGTATTCGGATTTCCATTTTTCCAGCGGATTGAGTATCGTCAGGAAGCCGTGAAAAAACGTTGAACGGCCTCATCCTTTTTCATCACACGCACATATAGGTACATACATACAACACATTTTACACACAAAGTACAAATTTTTCGACTATCCAATCATTCCTTTCATACCCGCGATACTTTTCTCTCCTCTTTTTTTACTTGTTCACATTTCGCTCTTTTTGTTGGCTTGACGCCCATTCTTTTGCTCTTAAAATCGCATCACGCGCATTATCAGCTATTCTTTTCTGAATTTAATCTTATGAAATTTTATCCTATTGACTACTGATGATATTTCAATGTGCCAACAGAAAAAAAAGCAGACGAAGAAAATATATTGGCTTTAGGGCTTCCGATGAAGTATCGTAAATCACATTTTTCCGAAAAATGCACCGATTTGTTGACGATGTGGATATTTCTGTGCGATTTCACGTCTCATCACATTGTTGCTTCAATGTTGCACGCGTTCCCTCTGGCGAATGGTATTCGGGAGAATCAAGAACCTCAACGGGCTAGGAAAAAAAAGTACATGCGTCTCTTCAGCGTAGCACACAATTGAATTTTGCTATGGAAATTGGTAACCATTTTTTCGGTTACTGTTTATTGTTACTGCTCATACATACTTCTTGCTAATCTAGCTAGCAGCGTACATGAATGTGAGTGCGAATGGGAATGGAGATTCGTTCAATTCGCTGGAAATATGCTTCTCGCAAAGGGAACGCGACTAAAACCTATTTCATCAAATTATGATTTATTTATTTTTTTCCTTTCTTGTGTGTGAATTTTATTTTTCATGCAAATCAAGTAAGAACATGTGGGAGGAAAAAAATGAACGGATACAACATCTGATCACATCCCGTGTGAAAAAGAAATGACTGACTGACTATAACTTCAGTTGATTGAATTTATGTTTTTGTTCTAAGAAAATCACTTGGTCCCAAATGAAGCAACTTAGATTGACTTGTAACTTCAAATGATTTCAGTTAACTATGATAGACTTACACTACACTTTGTACTGAAATGTCAATCAAAGTAAGTCATTTTTGTCCCAAATTAGTTAACTGACTGCTCAGTTACTATTTTTTCACACGGGATAATATAGATGAAATTTCGCTAGAAATCGGCATAATTTGAAGCGATTTTTTTTTTTACTGCAGCGAGAAATTGGAATTTTGCTTACATCATCAACATTTCTATGATCGCTTTTTGATGTGTATGTCAAAGTAAACCCCATTTCAACTTCTTGATTTCGCGACGAAGTAATTTCATCCGAAAATTGCACATAAAAAAGGAATCGAAATAACAACTTGATGCGAATAAAGCATATTTGCAAATGGGCACAGACAAACACACACTCACATACAAAACGCTATGAAGATTATGCATGATATTTTGATGCTAATGGGACGCATAACCATAACAAATTACTTATTTCCTATGCTCTCAGCATTTCATGTTGCAGTATTCATTTTCATTTTCGAAATTTCCATGCACACCGCAAAAATGATTGCTATTTATTATTGTAGTAAATGTTGATGATCCTTGAGCTTCGTGCTCTACAATGGTTGCATTCGCATGCCTTAAAACATTGACGATGATTATTATATAATACTAATGATGCTTTCAAGTATCGCAATCGAGCTTCAGCGCTCCATGAGTGAGCGAAGGAAGAGGAAGAAAAAATTAAATGCAAACAAAAGCATATACTAACAGACGAATACACCGGGCTTGATCGGTATACAAAAGTCGTCGGATAATAACTAGCATAAGTTTTCCACTTGAAAAAACTAAAACGTGTGCAAATCGAGAGAGAGAGAGCAGGATTTGATGAGATGTGTATGTGTATGCATGGTAAACAATTCACGGTAGAGAGCTTTTCGACCCAATAGAAAGTCAATGACTGCAACCGTAATGTGAAACCACGAACGCATAAAATTGTGATATTGTTATGATTGGGTGACTCATACGGTTCATATGTGAGGCGAGTGTATTTGTAAAATATGTATACATCTGCCACATATCGTTTCGATTTGCAATGCATCGTAAATATGAATGTGTAAGTGGCGTATACGGATACGAATTGGGGTCGTGCTGGTGCAAGGTGGTGGCGGCAGTGGCAAAAATTGAAAATAATAAAATTGCGACAAGGAAAACAGCACCGAAACGGTTTCACTAAAAATTGGAGACACAAAAAAATGGAGAGAAAAAGAAATAGGGAAAAAATTCATAATTCGTTGGAAACATTGAAGTTTTTTTTTATCGAGTGACTGGAGAGCCAATAAAAATGAAACAAATTTGAATGACATCGACGTTGTCACTTAGGCGAACTCTGTATACTGAACAGAGATATCTTGGTTTTTATGGGTGGAAATCTTTCATAATTTTTGCCAGCCACAACAAGTGAAACAAAGAGAGAGAGAGAGAGAGAGAGAGAGTGAAAGGAGGCACGGAGGTTAAGCGACAGATTTCTTTTTTTTAAGAAAAGCGTAAAAATACCGAAACGACTTGGAAAATATATTGTATGCTACTGAGTGATAGGCCAGAGCATACCGTGCTAAAGTCATTGGGAAAAAAATCCAACAAAATACAAAAAGTTGGAGCAAGTTGCTTTTATTGAAATTGATGCTATCCCGCTGTCACTGTCACGCCATAAAATTTTCACGTTCGTTTTGATACCGTTATGGCAAGCGAGCAAGCGAGTGCGTCAGAAACAACAATAAAATCGGGATTATAAAAGCAAATACCAGATTTCATTTCACATCCACACGACCCATCCGCATCAACCATTTTCGGTTTCGACACTTAACTTCACTTTCCACATTTCATACGCTACATTTCAGTGTTTCTGAACGCAACTGAATCTCCACAGATTTGTTTATTATTGCTCGTGTGTCTCTCTCTGTGTGGGTATTCTTTTTTACAGTTGTGTAAGTTTATTCGTAATGTAAAGTTCTCTAAAATAGGCATCATAAAAACAGCCCGTGCATGTACATTGAGCACAAAACCCGTAAATTTATCATGCGTATCTCATAGCATGATGTAGATAAAATCCATATGGACTGCATCTCGCTTGTTACGCTTAAAACAAACCAACAAGAATATGCGAGATTCGCGTGAAATTCAACCATAAAAATGGTTATTCCGCAAACAATGAAAGACACTTCTTCTTCTTCTTTTTATTTTTTTCTTCTTCAAAAAAATCCGTCGATTGCTTCGATTTTATTGGAAAAAATTTTGAACATTCGTGTTTTGAATTGACTACGAGACCGGGAACTGTTATTGATATAAAAAATCAAATGATTTTTCTTATTATTATCCGTATAGTCTTGGAGATGCTGGGCTATAGCCAGGCCTAGAGGTCACATCCTTGCCCGTCGACTCGATTTTCTGAATTGCTGTGAGCAAAAAATTTTCATCCCACATCAAAAAATACTCTTTTGCATCAGACGAAACTCTTAAGCAGATCAGGTCATCGGACGGATCAATCGTTCGAACTGCACTTCTGGCCAATTCCCGCAATGGAATTAACTGACGAGTTATTAATGCTGATAATTTAAAATCTAAATCACTTTGCACTGGTAGACCTATTGAGTAAAAACAAAGTTGACAATTTGGATATTCATAGAAATATACCTAGCACCGTATATTTTTGTTCTACCTGTGGGATCGGCTAGTATCGTATCGCATAACTTTTGCAAACGTGTTCGTACACTCATTTCGGCATTTTTTCGTACAACAACAGCGAGCTCTTCGGGCGGTTCCTCATTCATTTCGACAAAATACACCGTTTTTCTTTTTGTTCACCAATCAACAAATATTGAATGACATCAAACGAAATGTACCTTTTCAAATCGACAAAACTAAACCTGGCCTACTGCATTGCAATGATTCGAATTTATTTCGTTTCAATTCTTTGTGTGTGTACATTTCCATTGAAATATTTTGTATAGATCCTATCGAGTTAAATTGTACGCGAGAATCGTTGCAACGATGTTTATATTTGCTGAATTTATTGTACAAATGGACACCGATCAATGCAAGAGAAAACACAATTTCATTCAGGATAGCCAATTGAAAATTTCGAAATAAATTCTCCGATTTGACCTCGCATCACCCATCTCAGTTCAGTTCAGCCCATCGCCAGTCCGAAAACACATTCGTTTATTTAATCCGAGCCGTTTTATGGAATTCAGAAATACTAATCAGTCGAATTTATGGGTAATCTAATCCATTGGCGTATTGGCACAAGCCCGTGTGAATGTTGGCATAAATTCCATTAGCTGCACTATTTATGCCGTGCTGAAAATGGGGTTTTTGTTTTCGCATCCAATAAATTTATAATGTGTAAACACATCGTTAAATGCGAAACAAATAAAAAGCCTCGTGCACACGTTGCCTTGCCATTACGATTTTCAAATGCGTTGATTTTACATTTTGACACTATATGGCCAGTGATTCCATCTCGTTCTCTCTATCTCTATCCCTGTGTTTCATTGTCTTCTCTTTCTCTGTCACTGGCACTGACTGTGTGAGCAAACGGAATGGCAAATAGAAAATTCATCTCGATATTCAAAATTCAATCGGCAATAAAGTGCAGAGGAATGAAACCGTCTGGCTGCCGAAAAACCATTAGATAATGAGTAGACGACAGAAATTCAGTGGAAATGAGAAAACATTGCTGTCGCCATGCTTAAAATCCGGCTATATCTGGATTTGTTATGCGCGCAAAGTGAATGTGGTTATTGCATTAATCAAAAATAATAGCAATTATTTGAGGCGTACAGTGTTGGTGGTCTGTGCAAATCAAAACACAATTTCACCAGTTGTATTTGCAGATTCGTGTTCAGTGTTCACGCATTTTGCAGCTCTGAATAAATCATCATTTCGCCGCAATTCACATTCGTGAAACGAAATCGAATAAACACTTGAACTGTTCCAACTCTAACCCGCCCAGGTGGAAGCGATGTGCCCAAGTAAACTAAAGAGAATGGCAAACGGTAGAATATCGCTTTACTGTGGAATTTTGTCGTACAAAATCTCGATCACACGAGTCAATTTTAAACGTGAAAAGTAATCAAACATTTGTGTTTGCGAAGCAGATTGAAACGATTCGCATGCAGCAAATATTTCAAAATTAGTCGTCCATTTTGCCAATTATTTTGCACACGGGAATACTTTCGATATAGGCGAACTTGTGACAAGATATGGGCCAATTGAGCTTGAAAATCATAAAAATTGCAGCAACATTTCTGACTGATGATCGGCTTCGTAAATAACGTATTTAGTGCCTATACATCGTGCTGCACACTCAATCGACAAGGCACTTGATTAAATTAATTGCACACGGGCTCTTTATATGCACAACAGCATCACACGTCGTACGTTAGCCACTTGCATATAATGCAATAAAAACATGATTTATTCACCGTGTTTATTGCCTAACACATTTGAAGTGTTAATGTGATGAACTAATCAAATTTCATGCACCCATCGATTTCAATATGCATTGACATTTTATGATGCTCTCGCATAAGCTTTCAACTAAACTAACCATTTAAAAAAAAATGCTATTAGCTAATTGGATTGAATTTTTTTTTTGCAGAAGCATTTGCTGCTGCAGCACGGATTAGACATAGACCTTTAGTTTATGTTGAAAACAGCCATTCGATTTAATTGACAAATCACTTTTATTACGTTTTGCTAATAAGTATATTCATTGTGCCGTAAATATAAAAGAATAATTATTAAAGCAATGAATTACACTCGTTGCATTGGCGAAAATGGATCAGTTCGTTTTGGACCAGAACCAAACGAAAATTAATCTATTAAATTATTGAAGTTTGTCAAAGCGCTCGACGCTTTGCAGTTTTTGATCGATTTTATGCTGGCTTTAATAGACTCTGCGAAAATTCTAGTTCATCCACATTACTACTAAAGCTACAATATTGGTTCGGCATTTATGTTTCGCATCCATCGTTGTTCATGTAAAAGTAAAATGTACAACAAATTTAGCAAACATTTGATGTTCACGATAATTTACCTCTTTGTATGGACGCCTTGTTGTTATGCAGTAGGTCGATCCATGTAAGTAGCATATATTTTTCATAAGATATTCCGCTCAGATAAAAAAGGCAACGGCAATAAATAATATTTATAGATGCACAAAAGAAAGACTTTGAAAATATTAAGAGATTCTATGCAGGCTTTTTGGAGGGTTGAAAGAATTCACAATCGTTTTAGGTCTCAATACACTGAAAAACAATAAAAAAATGAACAACAGCGAAAATTGGTTGCGAAGAAGATCGCAGGGGTGAACTATAGAAGTTTATGAGACTGCTATTGCTGAAAACAAATTGCGGAAATAGAAGTTAAAGACGGTTAGATGGGTTGGAGTCTTGGATTTAAAAAGGCTATACTCGGGCAAAATCGAAAGACCCTTCCCCTTGCCCATTGCAGCTCAACAAGTCCATACACACATTTTAACTTTTTTTCAAATATAATTTCATCGAACGAAAGAAGTTGTTTTTAACAGCTACAAACTATCATCCCCTGAGCCATTCATACGCATACGAACAAATTGTTATGCCCTTCAAGCACCACCACCACCGACGTTGATACGAATGTATATGCAATGCGTTTTCTTTGTTGGTTTGATGTCTTTACTCTAGACTCCATCTCGCAGAAACGTTTGATTGATGACTTATAATTTATGTACAGAGTTGTACAATGAATATTCTGACGTTTGAAGTAGTAGTACGGTCTAATGCCCGTGTGTATCGTATCGCCGTCACATGAACTGTATATCGAAAAAAAAGTACCGTATATATATTCAACTATAGTTGGCAAGAACGCAAATGTGTGTACTTCACGGTATGCACATCACATGCTTATTTCGTTCGTTCATTCGTTTTGTCTCCCTCTTGGTTTCTCTCTGCACAACCTGCAAGAATGAAACATAACAATATAATTTCATGATGTATGAAATATGAATGCTAAACAATATCGGTTTTTTTCCTCTCCCACATGGTACATGATTCAAAACAAGCTATCGAAACGGTTCAACGGGTAAAATGATCCCATCAGCGGTAATAGTTGAATATCATTTTAGATACAGCTACCATAAAGCACTCCAAATGATAATAATAATGTATATGGGTTCTTAGGACAAAACATGTACAAATTTTTTATGGGTTATTTAAATTCTTTATTTTTTTGTTCATTTCTTCTAGTGGGCAGACTGAGTGAATCGATTTTAATTCAATATCTGTGGACAAAATTGAATTTTCAATCAAATTTCCCTGAATGGTTTGCAAACTTAAAGCATTGCTTCCAGAATTGAGGTGCTGAGAAAGAGAGAGAGAGAGAGAGAGAGAGAGAGAGAGAGAAAGAGGGAAAAAAGGTGGATGGAATCAAAGTTAAATTCTCGAGTGGTGATAAATTAGTGAGTAATGAAAATTGGAACAAAACTGCGCAGCATGCAAACATATTATTCATCATCATTCTTTGTTCACCTACTCATTTGGACCATTCATTTGCAGTGGCTAAGTGGTTGCTTTGCTGGAGCCAACGTGCTTGTATGCTGGCGACACAATATTAATGATTTCGGCTTGGTTCGCTTTCACTTCTAATTTATATTACGCTCTGATCCTCTGTGGATAGAACGACACCTGCTGCTGTTGCTGCTGCTGCTGTTGCTGGTGCTGCTGTTGAAGGGAGAATTTTCTATTATTTTATACTATTTTAAATTTTTTTTTCTTCGTTTAATTTATACTCCGCTATGAAGCGATGGCTGAGCGTACGTACATTGCAATAGAAGCATACCTGAAATCGGGGTGAAGTGAAAAAAGGTAAAACTTCTGTCATAAAATATCCTCATATAATAACACATATTCCCATTTTACATTCGCGTAGGTAGTACGCTGTCGTCATTCAAATCACATGTTTTTTCTTAGTTATTGTTGTTGTGCTGTGTCCTTTTGGCTGTGTGTTAGTGTGAGAGTGGCTAATCGTGCGGCATGGCTTCGAGTACGATGGCGAAATGTAATATTATATTTCATAAACACAAAGTTGAATAACACAATTTTTATGCATGGAACAACATAAATAACAATTAATTAAAAACTTTTTTTCCGCTCCATTGTTATATTGCCGTATTTTTTTTTTTTGCTGAATTCCGTCTCTTGGCACAAAATTTATACGTATATCCAAGTGATTGTGTGTGAACAGCACACTGTTCAGCCTGTATGTTGCACCTATTATTGCCACATTGCCAGCCTCCGTACAATACAATGTGCTTACTGTTTGTAATTTCATTTTGTTGTTCTGGTTGTTGGTGTTGTTGTTTGTTTTTTTTTTTTTCAACGGTGGCACATATTTTCTCGGCACAATTCCTTTCTTTTCTTCGATGTTCTACTTTCACAAATGAAACGATTTATTTTTCTCACAATCTATGCACTTCTATGAAAACTAAATCATGTAAAGCATATAATTTAGCATTCAAAAGCATTCTCATTTATTTTACATCTACTTATTTCGCAGAAATCTTTTCTATTGCCTTTTCATAATAATCGTGAATTATTGTCGTAGAAAAGAGCAAAATGAGAACGAGTTAAATTGGCTTTTACTGAAAAATACTAAATCCAGCATCTGGGTATTTAAAAAAAATGACTCATTTAAATCAAAAGTAAATTTCATTCGATTTGTCCAAGTTAAAAAAAAAAGACGTTAAAGTTGTCATCAAATTCAAATTGGTCGCAAATTTAACACGTTCACAATAAATCACAGTACTTCATTTTCGATTAGACGTGTGTTTTCACGTTTTATTCATTTGTCAATT